ATTGCTTCTACCTATGTAAAGTGACCTTATAGATATTGACTAAACAAGGTGGTCAATACAATTTTCAAGAGACAACAGCTCGGCAGCCTCATTGTGGTATGATTATCTATTCGTAAATTCCCTCCAAATCATCGTCAATATATAAATCTTTCAGCAGCCGCTATTGTTATATTTTCCTTCCGCTAGTTGGAGCGGCGTTAGGAGCTAGTTAAGTCAGTCTTAACAGTCAGGGAGTAGTGTAGCTGGGGCTCAGGCCTAGGAGAATTGAAAGCTACACATCAGTTGTGAGCGCTGTATCTATTCAAAGCCAACTGGAAACGAGTTCAGAATCACTAGTTCAGCCTAATTAACTGGTTTCCCGGACAGAAACTGCACTCAAGAGACACCACGGTAACGGCGATTAAGGCAGCTTGTGACTTAAGGGATCGACCGGTAGTCTGTAACACAGACCTGTTCGGGAGAAGTTTCTTAATATCCTAAAAGCCGTACAATAAATACTTAGGGCATACAGCCAGTTACCACTATTGATTTAAACAAAATTGATGCTATACAGAGTTAGTCAAAACTATCATTCCTCTCAATTTTCGCGATAGATGACATCAAGACTTTGGTCCACAATGTTTCAGCGTACATAGCTTTGATTTGCGTCTTTGAAACCCGACGTCTCTTAGCGGAGGATGTGCAGCAACTCTCAGATTTGATCGCCAGTGCTTCGAGAGAAATGTCTGCATCTAACAACCTATGAGATCTACCAGGCTGCATTTCTAAACAGTGAATATCATAGGACATCGACTTCTGTGGGTTGGTTGTGCACTATAACTATCACCACAGAAGCACTTATACCACTCAGTACTTGATAGTCAGTTATGCCCCATATCTACTGTCTTAAAATTTCAGGGCAAAATATATGGACACACAGGAGGTGTAGTAAGGGGATCACCAATATTCCATATTAATGGGCTGCTGGGAAAATAGTGGTCTTAATGTTTTTATTCCCACTCCAAAAATATGATGGAGGTATATGGATGACACTTTCACAATGTCTAGCTTCTTGACACATAAACTCACTAGTAGAGGGAATAAAATCCACATTTGAATTGGAAAATAAAGAATGAGAATTAGCTGTGTTAGATTGTAAAATAAAACGAATAGAAGAAAGTAAACTGCACACTAGTGTGTACAAAAGGCCTACTCATTCTAATAGATATTTAGACCTTAATTCATCTAATCCGATATCTATCAGTGAAGGCTGGGTTAGTTAAGTGTTTAACAAACCGACCAGTAGCACTGAGTAGTACAACGAAAGGCCTAAATGATGAACCGAAACAGATAGAAGAACAACTGGTTGGTGTTAAATAATTATCCTGTAAAATTCACTAGGGAGATCAAAAGAGGTCAAAAGCAAAATTTAAAAAATGGTGAAACTAATAATGATAACACAAATAAGAGGGAATATAAGTCACCCCCCGTTATACCATATAAGGAAGGGACATTTGAGGCCCTAGGCAGGATTGTTAATAAGGCAGGAATTAGGGTGGCATCTAAACCTACAAACCCACTCAGAGACAAGCCCTGTACGCTAAAGGATCACGTAGGTTAACCCGATTAGAAAAAATAATATTATTTAAAAAATACCTTGCAACGACTGTGAGGTTAACTACATAGGTCAAGCCTTTAGGTCAGATTGTCGGAACATAAGAATTTAGCTAAGATAAAAATGGCTGGCCCCGAGAAGACAAGTAATTTAGAAAAAACCTCAGCGATTGCACTGCATGCGTTAACACACAACCACAAAATAGGGTTAAAATACTAAGAAGTAATATAGGTAGATGTAGAGAGAGGTTGGTTACTGAATCCTTGTTCATCGAGCCTACACCCAATACGTGCAATAAGGAATGACTCATCACTCATACCAGAAATATGGAAAATATTACCACCCATCAAATCAAGCGAGGAAAAATAATGGAATTGTACAAATGAAGTTGTTAGCATAATAGGAGGAGTGTTTGAATAACTTTCTTTTGTATGCATAGCTCAGGTTTTTTCCTCTTATCTGAATAGCCAAAGCTTCAACAGTGCAGAGGAGACAGAGTTGTATTGCCCTTGGCAGGTGCTGCCTCTTCCATTTGTAGACTAATCTGAGGGTGGAGATGTCTTGTTGAGATGCAATGATCAGTAATGGCAAAGTTTTCGATTATTGCACTCCTTATGCAGCTGCTACCACTGTGGTGAGGTCTGCCTGCTAGCCAAAATTGGTAGACAGCAATTTATGTCCCAAATCTAGACCATGGGAAAAAACAAGAACAAAGCTTAACCCTGAGGAACTCAACAACCAATCACAGCAGACTCTGAGTGGGCGGATACAATTCGCAGATATATGATCGGAGATGAGAGAATAACCTTCAGCAGGAAAACAACCAATCAGAAGACGTTGCTTCTCTGCTAACAATAACGCTAATAATAATATACATGAAAATTCTGTAAATATCTGTTGATTTTCTCAATAAACGTTCTGTTGCTTGGCTTTTTTCTTCTGTCGTTACACTACTACTGTCTTTCTGTAACTATTTGAGATAGTGTTGCTGAACCATTTAACGCAGGAGAATACGCGACGAACGACCAATTCACCTGACTCCGAAAGAACAGGTGAACTGATATATACACTAGAACTTTTATAGAATTCCTTTCGTTTCTATGTACATCCTGATAACAACTCGTTCATTCATTAAATTATTCCTCTTATTGCATAATCCTATTACACTTATTCAACCCCTTTTACGCATTGACGCGATATTATTATTATTACTATTGTATCCTTTAGTTCCTAGAGGAACATAGGGCTTCAGCTGCGCACCTCCATTGACTTCGGTTTTCTGACAACTTTTTCACCCTGCTCCAGGTCTGTCCACATGCTTTCATCTCCTCCTCGCATGACCTCCTCCAAGTCACCCTTGGACGACCAACTCGCCGCCTCCCTCTCGGGTTCCACTCGAGGGCTTGTCTAGTGATGTCACTTGATGGTTTCCTCAGCGTATGGCCAATCCATCTCCATTTCTTCCTGCCTATTTGTTTCACAATCGGTTCCTGGTTGGTTCGCTCATTGCCAGAGATCCCTGTTGCTGATCTTTTCTGGCCATCTGATCTTGAATATTGAGCGAAAACAACTGTTAATGAAGGTTTGAAGTTTGTTTGAGATGCTCTTTATGACGCGCCTGTCTCTGATCCGTATAGCGAGTAGCACTGACTTCACATTGGAGTTGAAAATCCGGATCTTATTTTTCACGCTGAGGAGTGCTGTTGACCTCCACACAGACTTGACAGTAATGAAAGCTTGTCTTGCTTTTCCGATTCTAGCTTTGATATCCTCGTCAGTTCCGCCTGTAGTTGAGACGATGCTTCCCAGGTAGGTGAAGGAGGCTGTTTCTTTCAGGTTCCTCCCATTTATGCTGGGTGACTGTCGTCTGTTGTTGGCCAAGAATCTTCACCACCTCTGTTTTCTCTATGTTCACTTGAAGTCCTATCTTTGATGCTTCTTCTGCCAACTTGTTACTTTTCACTTGCATATCTTCCAGTTTATGGGAAATCAGACATATATCATCGGCGAAATCCAGATCCTCCAAGTCTTTTGTGTCAGTCCATTTTATGCCTGTTCCCTCGTTGGTTGCCGTTGTATGTCGCATTATCCAATCAATTGCAATCAGGAAGATCATTGGTGATAGTAGACAGCCTTGCCTCACTCCCGTCCTCACTTCGAAGGCTTCCGTAAGTTTCCCGTTGTGGATTACTTGGCATGCAGCATTGTCGTATAACTGTTGAATGAGGTGTATAATTGTCGATGGGATCCCGTAGTAGCGAAGTAGTTGCCAAATCACCTCTCGATCGACGCTGTCTGCTGAAGGCCTTTTCAAAGTCGATGAAGTTGAGTGAGGTGGAGATGTGACTGCCATTCCAAGCTTTGTTCAATGATGATCCGTAGAGTGGCGATTTGATCAATACATGATTTGTTTCTCCTGAATCCGGCCTGTTCCGGACGAAGTTTTCCATCTAGGGCTTGTTTGATTCTCTCGAGGATGATTCGGCTTAGTATTTTCCTTGGAATGGACAGGAGCATAATTCCACGCCAGTTTTTACATTGACTTAAGTCTCCTTTCTTTGGTAGTTTGAATAAGTATCCGTTCTTCCAATCTTCGGGTACTTTGCCCTCTTTCCACACCTTCTCCAGCAGTGGCGTCATCAAGTCCGCTGTTGTCTCTGGGTCTATTTTCAAAGCTTCTGCTGGGATTCCATCTGATCCTGGTGCTTTCCCAGCTTTTAGCATCCAGGACTTCTGATTTCGTCGGGGGGTCAGTGTTCACTGGTAGTTCTGCTTCCGTTGTTGGTATTGTTGGGCGCGTTGTAGGTGGCCATTCATTTGAATCTTGTTACTACCCTATATCCTGAAAAAGGCAGACTGAACTCGTTATAAATGAATTCGTCAAAAACAACTTCTCTTCAACTGCATATCAATTGTATTATAGTAAAAGCTAAATACACAATAGAGTTAATTCCTTAAGATAAGAAAAGCACTGACAGTGAGATAATAATCTTCAAAGCGATTAAGCAAGAAACCAATCACACACATATAAAAGATCTATTTCAATAAGTTAAAAAAAGCAAAGAAAGAAAGTTTGACAAATTAAGAGACAATAAAAAACGAAAAAAAATATACTCTGTATGAATTCTCATTTGGTGAATAGCTGTTAAAAAAGAACTTGAATTTAGTTAGTTGAAATACAAATATATATGATAGTTGTAGGGAAATATACACCGATTTATAGAAGAATACATAATTCTGAAGAAAAAAGACCAGAAAGCTGAACACAATTCAATGCTTGAAAATATAAACATACACCTCGAGGGGCGGGGGGTGGTGGTGGTGGAAAGGGGACGAAGGGGGACATCTATACAGAATCAATATATGCATATATATACATGTACAAGTATTATTGTTATCATCATATTCAATCGTCTTTCTTGAAATATTTTGTAATGGGATTGTTCAAGGCAGGACACAATGTTGTCATTCTTCGACGTCGATTGTTCTATTGAAAACAAAAGCATTTAAAAAAATTAATTAAGCTCTACGATGTGAAAAGTTTACGAATTAAGGATAAATGAGGGTGAATATTAACAGCCTGCTTAAATCATTGGACTGCCTAAATTTTCTGCTTACCAAAATGCATATTGTTTTGATCATCTAATTACCACAGTCGAACTCACGCGCTATTTCAAATGAGTTTCTACATACCGCTAGTAATATTTCGAAGGAATTGGAGGAAAACCATCATGAAGTAGTACTGGACCAAGCTTCGCGTGGAACAATGTTGTTTCAAATGATATAATTATCGATTAGGCAAAGTTAAACTATCCCAACCAAAGCCACAGTAACCTTGAACAACCAATCAGAATTCAGATGCGAAAACGTCGCATAATTGTTGAAAAATGCACTAAAAACCATTGCAAACATGTGATGAGAACTGGCTGCTAGCCAGTAATTTGCGTCAATGTTTATTTCCAAAATATTCGTCATGTAAAAACAAGAGCAAAGACTGATTCAACAACCAATCACAGTCGATTTTGAGTGGGCGGTTACAATTACCAGATAGACGATCTGACATTTAAGAAACAGCCACAAAGAGATGAAAGATTAAGTTTCAGCAAGAAAATAACCAAATAGAAGACTGCGTTTTTCTGCTAACAATACTCTATGATAATGCACATGAAAATCTATAAATATCTGTTGGTTTCCTTAATAAACGATCTGTTGACTGGCCCTTGTCTTCTGCCGTTACAATATTACACTATATAATACTCGCTTATGCATTGTAAGAATGTTTCCAAGTCACTACACACATGATCTATAAGGATATTATACCATGCGTGATAGATGCATTCGTGCAAGTGACTGTAGGTCAGTCTTTGCTACTCCTAAACTGCAATCACAATCCTAACCTTAACCCTTGTCCCTATATCCTAATCTGAAATGCCATAGCCCTACCTGACTGTAGAGATTTACAGAAAAAGTACCCAGGGAATGATGAGCGGAATACTGTATCTACTTTTTCCAAGTTCAAAAAAGGCGGGCATAATTTGATTTAGAATGACCTTTTCATAGCATTCCGTCTATCTGATTGATTCTTATAGGGTCAACTTTTGAAAAATCTTGGAGCTTTGGCTATGCTACTTTAACTTCATTCTGAAATGGAACAACACTCTGGAAATTCACTATTACATATAAAACGCATCGTTTTGAATAAAGCTATCCTAATCTTCTACTACACTTATCAGCATCATATATTAAACTGCTATCTGAGGCAGAACAATTCACTCAGATTACGGTAATAAGCCAGGAGTCATGAAGAAAAAACTGCACTGGATGAAGTTTATTTTACTGACTAACACATACTTAAATACACCTTAACTGCTTAGTTCAATTTTCTCATGCACCAATCTGTTCTCTGTATTAAAACTAGTATGGTGAGAGCTGGCTGCTAGCCAAAGTTGGTGGACAGTATTTTACTTCAATGTTTATGTCCCCAATGTATTGGTTGGTCGTGAGAAAAATAAGAACAAAGAGTGATTCAACAACCAACCACAGCAGACTTTGCGTAGGCGGATACAATTTGCAAATAGATAATCTGAACTTCAATAAACCGCCACAAAGAGATGAAAGATTAACGTTCAATGAGAAACCACCGATCAGAAGACTGTGTTTTTCTGCTAACAATACTCTATAATAATGTACATGAAAATCTATAAATATCTGTTGATTTCCTTAAATAAAGAATATGTTGCCTGGTCCTTCCTTGTTTTTTGTTGTTACACTAGTACACAGAAAAAGGTGATAAAATTAACAAACTGGAAGACTTGTACAAGCAGTCGAAAACCACCAAGTTGTCAGAAGAGACAGACAGACAGCGAGGAAAGGACTTCAAGTGAACACACAGAGAAGATACAGGCGATGAAGACAACTAACCAACCGACAACAACAACAACAACAAGAAACACCATTCACTAACAATACAGTAAATGTTTGAAAGAAGTCTCTTTTTTCAATTATCTGACCAGGTGGCACCGTCGTTTCGCCTACAGGGGTGACAGTATGGATGACGATGTCTAAACCAGTCAGAATCAGATGGGCCCAGACATCATTTCATCTCAATCTCTTCAATCAGTTCGGAAATCTTCTGCACTCAGGATTAACAGGAAAATTCAGATTTTAAACACTAATGTTAACTGAATGAATGCTTCTGTATGAGTGAGACACTGGAGCAACGCGTCATGAAAAGCATTTCTAACAGGCTGTTACTGCTGCAGACTTCGCCAGAGAGAACAAGCAACAAGTAACTCTGGAAAGGAACCAATCGAACACCTATTGCCTAACTAGTTAGTATGCCGAATAAAACAGAGATGGATAGGATACACACGCTGAGAAGATCAGTTGAGTGACATCGCTCTTCAGCTAGGGCGTGGAGTGGAACCCACCAAATGAGAAACGAAAAGTTGGGGGGGCGTGTATCTGAGAGTGGGGATTCTATGAGGAGGAAACGACGGCCAAAAGGCAATCATCAGGGCCGAATTAAGCGTACTGTAGAGAAAATAGGACAAAGTGGAGAAGTTCTGTTGACACCCTATGTTCCACTGGGAACCCGGAGGAATAATTACATAATAATTATTGTTAACAAACTTAGGAACAACAGGCACATGTGTAACATAAGATTTGTTGCTACCAATGGACTACACACATAACAGAACCTAACAAAATTCATTCACAAGTTAGGATCAATGTGCATATGATCTAGAATCAATAAGTTGACTACCTACAAAAGAATGAAAGATACTCAATTCACATAAATAAAAAAGTCAACTTAAACAAGAAAGAGAATGTGAGAAAAAATCTCTTACATGTGCTGGAAGAATTGGAGAACTTGTCAGCGAAGCATTTGACTGTGAACTTGATGACGGGAATGCAGTTAACCGTCGTCGTTTCTCTTTCACCCGACTTACACTATTCGACACACTGATTTTCAGAGCATCAGAAGGTGTATCAATAAGATCTGGTCGTTGGCGTTTTCTTGATTCCGAAAGACATAATTCATCTCTTTGCTTCAAAATTAGAAATTTAAAAAAAATGTAGATGTACACCCTTTTTAAGATTTAAAAACTAGAATTATACGAGAAAATAAATTTACAATAACATATTTAAGCAAAAAATATTGTGCTTTTAATTAGATGTCATCAGGCCTAGTTAACTCTAAAACACATAACTTTACAAATAAATATTCATACTTTTATTTAGTAGTTGATCACAGATTGATATCATTTGGAGAACCATTGAAAACCAGCATTGGAGTACTGGACAGCTGTTTCGTCCCAGTTCGAGAATCATCGGCACTAGGTACTCACTGGGGTTCGAACCAAGGACCTCCAGGTTACAAGGCAAGCTTGTATACAATTCAGCAACTGAGACCCGAATCAATGGCTAACTCATGAATTCCAACTTCCACCAATTTGTGATTTAGCGCGATTGGCACCAACCATCCGCACACGTGACTGGATGGATATCACTGATCACGACTTCTCACTAGAACTGCAGGGAACTCCATCCGACCGAAAGGTCCTGAGTTCGAACCCCATGTGGTGGTTGCGTAGTGCCGATGATTCCCAAACTATGATGAAACAGCTGTCCAGTACTCCAGTGTTGGTTTTAAATGGTTCTCTAACTGATATCAATCCGTTATCAACTCGTACAAAATATAACTGATTCACTTAGGATGTTTTGGTTTGATACTAGTAACTAGTGTCATGCGTCTAGTCCTCTGATTGGCGTAGACTGAATTCTATCATCAGGTTGTAATGTGACCACCATTCTAGCTAGCTCGCCATCACGGTGCATATTGATTTGATGGTATTAGATGGTTGGAGGCAATCGGCCACGGGAAGCCTTGGATCTAGGTTTCGTGCTAGTTGGCACTCATCAGTCTACAAGGCGTATCTGCAACCTTGAAGGAAATCATGTCCCTTCTGAGATTCGAACCCGCGTCACCCAGTGCTGCAATCAGAGACGTTACCACTGAGCTATTCGGGCTCGCAATTGACCTCCTGTAGGACTGTAGTGGATATTTTTATTTGACACTAGTAACTAGTGTTATGCGTCTAGTCCTCTGATTGGTGTAGACTGAATTCTATCAGTCAGGTTGTAATGTGACCACCATTCTAGCTAGCTCGCCATCACGGTGCACACTGATTTGATGGTATTAGATGGTTGGAGGCAATCGGCAGGAAGCCGACCAGAAGACTAGACGCATAACACTAGTTACTAGTGTCAAATAAAAATATCCACTACAGTCCTACAGGAGGTCAATTGCGAGCCCGAATAGCTCAGTGGTAACGTCTCTGACTGCAGCACTGGGTGACGCGGGTTCGAATCTCAGAAGGGACATGATTTCCTTCAAGGTTGCAGATACGCCTTGTAGACTGATGAGTGCCAACTAGCACGAAACCTAGATCCAAGGCTTCCCGTGGCCGATTGTTTCCAACCATCTAACTACTTAAGATGTGTACGCAGTTAGAGACAGAAAATCTACGAAATAAAACGTGCTCGTATTGTCCTAGCCACAAATATGTTCGTTCTTTCTTTATTCAAAGTATAATAAGGTGACTCGGTTGTATGAAAATAACATTTGGCTTTTTTGATCTGAAGTCAAAGAAACACTGTGATGAGAGCAGTCTGCTAGCCGAAATTGGTAGATAGTAACTTACGTCAATGTTTTTTTTCCCTTCACGTTCCCCAGTGGAACATAGGGCTTCAAGTTAGTGGCTTGAAGTTTCTGTAGCGGTGTTTATTTTACAGGGTGGGGTTGCTAGCCTGATGCCCAACCTTTCCTCTTTACCAGCATTATTTCTGGCTCAGCGAGGTTAAGGAGTGCGTCTGTGGCCGGGGATCGAACTCCGGACCATGTGCATGGTCGGCGAGCATTCTAATCGCTGTGCCACCGACGCACACGTCAATGTTTACGTCCTAAATATTGGTCACGTAAAAATAGAAGAACAAGGACTGACTCAACAACCAATCACGGAAGACTGCGTGGACAGATACAATTAGCAGACAGACGATGGGACCTTCAAGAAACGGCCACAAACAGATGATAGATTTGATTTCAGTGAGAAACAACCAATTAGAAGACTGTATTTGTTTAATTACAATAATCTATCATAATGTACGGAAAAACTGCTTGCGCGCGCTTTTCGACTATTACGCTACATTTTGCTCATTAATAAAAACCTTTATTACTGTAAAAATTTATGCAAAGAGTTTGCGGAAATTATCACAATTATTAACCTTTCGAACACTGATTCCAAAAAATACAATCTTATTGACAGATAATACACATAACCCACTGTTTGGATTTGTGGAATTTTTAAACATAAACACATCTATAATTGTATATATTGTTGGATTTATATGTTCAAGTTGCTCCAAGTCAGTGAGTTTATGGTTAAGATATCATTTTAGTTAACAATACTGAACTATATTGCATGTTGTCTTATTGCATAGTTGTCGTCGCTTTTTGCCCTTTTTTCTGTGAACAGTTTCCTTTGTTGATGTTGTTCTCATTGTTTGTCCGTTATTTTCTGATTTTGAGGGGAGCAACCCAAAAAGTTGCTGCTCTCTAAACTTTTACTTAATGTAATCATTCTTTTCTCAGGCGTGAGGCTAGCAACCCCACCCTGTAAACAAAAATTGCTAAAGAAACTTCAGTATGATGAACCTACTTATTCAAACTTCCAAAGAAAGGAGACTTAAGTCAATGTAAAAACTGGCGTGGAATTATGCTCCTGTCCATTCCAAGGAAAATACTAAGCCGAATCATCCTCGAGAGAATCAAACAAGCCCTAGATGGAAAACTTCGTCCGGAACAGGCCGGATTCAGGAGAAACAAATCATGTATTGATCAAATCGCCACTCTACGGATCATCATTGAACAAAGCTTGGAATGGCAGTCACATCTCCACCTCACTCAACTTCATCGACTTTGAAAAGGCCTTCAGCAGACAGCGTCGATCGAGAGGTGATTTGGCAACTACTTCGCTACTACGGGATCCCATCGACAATTATACACCTCATTCAACAGTTATACGACAATGCTGCATGCCAAGTAATCCACAACGGGAAACTTACGGAAGCCTTCGAAGTGAGGACGGGAGTGAGGCGAGGCTGTCTACTATCACCAATGATCTTCCTGATTGCAATTGATTGGATAATGCGACATACAACGGCAACCAACGAGGGAACAGGCATAAAATGGACTGACACAAAAGACTTGCAGGACGAGGATTTCGCCGATGATATATGTCTGATTTCCCATAAACTGGAAGATATGCAAGTGAAAAGTAACAAGTTGGCAGAAGAAGCATCAAAGATAGGACTTCAAGTGAACATAGAGAAAACAGAGGTGGTGAAGATTCTTGGCCAACAACAGACGACAGTCACCCAGCATAAATGGGAGGAACCTGAAAGAAACAGCCTCCTTCACCTACCTGGGAAGCATCGTCTCAACTACAGGCGGAACTGACGAGGACATCAAAGCCAGAATCGGAAAGGCAAGACAAGCTTTCATTACTCTCAAATCTGTGTGGAGGTCAACAGCACTCAGCATCAAAAATAAGATCCGGATTTTCAACTCCAATGTGAAGTCAGTGCTACTATACGGATCAGAGACTTGGCGAGTCATAAAGAGCATCTCAAACAAACTTCAAACCCTTAATTAACAACTGTCTCCGCTCAATACTCAAGATCAGATGGCCAGAAAAGATCAGCAACAGGGATCTCTGGCAATGAGCGAACCAACCAGGAACCGATTGTGAAACAAATAGGCAGGAAGAAATGGAGATGGATTGGCCATACGCTGAGGAAACCATCAAATGATATCATTAGACAAGCCCTCGAGTGGAACCCGAAAGGGAGGCGGCGAGTTGGTCGTCCAAGGGTGACTTGGAGGAGGTCATGCGAGGAGGAGATGAAAGCATGTGGACAGACCTGGAGCAGGGTGAAAAAGTTGTCAGAAAACCGAAGTCAATGGAGGTGCGCAGCTGAAGCCCTATGTTCCTCTAGGAACTAAAGGATACAATAATAATAATAATAATCATAATGTACGTGAAAATCTATAAATATGTGTTGATTTCTTTAAACAAACGATCTGTTGCCTGGCCCTTGTCTTATGTTGTTACAACACTACTGGTATTTGCACATATTCCACATCACACACAAGGAAAACAATCTCACACTGCTTCAAAAATTTGGTAAAAAAAACAACAGCAAAAAAAATTAACAGTTGGATTTAACTCCAAGAACAGACCAGTGTTAAAAATACTTCGAAGAAGAATAGTTAAAGCTGACACATCAAGTGAAAAACATACCGATTGTGGTGGTGTATTAAACAGAGGCTGATTGTTCACACATAATGGTAGTCTTCGTTTAGGTGTAGCTGGAGATTGTGGTTCTACTGGCTGTTTATTGCCTACAGAACATCGAATAATCGGCGACTGATCTGTGATTCGTCCGTCAACACAATCCAAAGGAAGGCAACTTTGAGACGATGAAACTGAACATTGCTGGAGTAAATCATTTGGATTAATGTTTTCTGAATCTTCTATTATTGGTAAAAAAAAAATTTAAAAAAGTATGATAACAATAATTTGCTTTATTCTAAAAACAGTACTTGTGATACAGAATGGAATTTTCAGCATTAATCACAATAATATTGCATCTAATTTCATCAAATTATAAATCAAAATTAATCACACAGAAAATCTTCTACATTTACAATAGGAGGGGGGGGAATGTCAGAAACATGCAGCATATAAAATGGAAATAATCATAATAATGATAACCGCTAAGGTAGTAATAATAATAATAATAATACAAGTGAAAAATTCCGTGGGCTTGTTTCACACAGTATTGTCGGTGTATGCGGTATAGAAATCCTAGCATGTTTAAAAATATTGAATATAATCTTCTCTTTACATGATATGATGAGGGGAAAAACAAAGATTACAGCAGTCATAGAGATAAGTTGGTGCTTGCAATTATGAAAGTAAAACAAACAAAGAAGCAACAGGACCATAAATATAAGAGAAATAAAGAAAAATAAAACTTGAAGGTATGTAAGGATGGATGGAGGAAATTGTTTATTTACTAGATGAAAAAAGGTTAGTTAATTCTTGCCTGACACCACTTTCATCACATAAAATACGTGCCAAGTATGGTATCACATACATACACATGTGCGTGGTACTCGCGAACTAAACACACATCTTATTTTGCTATGATTTATAAAAGGAATTATCAGCATAAAAAATTTAAATATCACTATTATTTTAGACAAAGCAGTAAGGAGATGCAATTTATCTGAATCGTGTAATGTTGTATTTGAGCAACACATTTCGAACAATCTGATCACACAGCCACGAACTTGTCATAGGAATATACGTATGTAAATAGGTGAGAAACTAAACTTCAGTCAAGTTAAAAGGACATATTAAAGGTCAAAATAACAATGAAGATCACTAAACCAAATAACGGAAGTAATAGTGTGGTGAGAGTAGGCTGCAAGCCAATTGGTAGACATTAATTTACGTCAGTGTCTAGGTCACTAATATTGGCCGTGACAAAATATGAACAAAGCTGATTCAACAACCAATCACAGCAAACTTAATGTGGACAAATAAGTTTCGCAAATATATGGCTTAACTTTCCGAGAAACCAGAAACAACCAATCAGAAGACTGTGTTTGTCTGCTTGAATAAGCTATAATAATGTACATGAAATATATATAAATACGTGCTGATTTCCGTAATAAAACGATCTGTTGCCGGCCCTTGTCTTCTGTTGTTACAATAGTACATCTACGCTAACTGGTATCAAAACAAAGTTTATCAAGGAAGGTAGGTTTAGTGTGATGACAAATTGTTGCTTTGAAGGCATAAAGCTGGTTTAAACTTCCTAATCACTAGCTAGCAATTCCCCACAAACATTAGGATACGCCCAACCCGAAACACGTTTTACAGATAGGTTTAAAAGATCTATTAACGTCAATTTTATGTCCTATCTCCATAATATGTTTCGCAGTAAAGGAGATAGATCGCCTATTCTCATCATTAATGGCTTCTGAAGATTCTGCTTGCTTCTGAAGCCATTTAGGAACACTCTTTGAAGCACTAACTTGCAGAGGTCGATAAGTCCTTCTTTTGTATGCGTGTCCACACGTACAATCAAGTTGGCAAATACAGTGAGATGTGACATCATTTTTTGCATATACAAAAGGCTTAAGTGAATATATTGGTTTCCCATTCCCAATTATTATAATTTTAGCTGTATAAAATGTATTTTTAACAACAACAGCGTTCAATCTTTGTCTAGTTATCAAGCTGCTATGATCACCCATAGGGGGTGTATATGTCTTTCTTAGCGATGAGTTGAAGAGTGGCTGTCTTGGTGTTCTGAGTACTTTATACCTGTTAATGATCTTGTCTGGATAATTTTTATCAACTAGAGTTTGTGGCAACTTTCCTTCTTACTCATCAAGTGTGTCTTCAGAGCATATTTGTTGGATTCTGCTGAAGTTGCACCTAACTACCTAAGGCTGTGTTTGCACCGAACAGGGCAGAAACTGTGACAATTAAGAAACTGTCCAGTCGTGTCCTGTCCAGGTATGTTTTCTAAAAATGGAATGGATTGGAGATGGATCAGGTATACACTGAGGAGACCGCTTAGCAGCGACGCGACCTTGGTAGGCTGACGAGTGGAATCCCAGTGGGAAACAATTAGTTGGTTATGTAATGGAGGATGATATGGAGGAGGAGATCATGAGATGAGAAGACAATGGAATCTTATGGGCAGTCGTGGAGTCAGCTCAGTGGTATCTTCTCTGACCGCAGCACCCACTGGGGGTGGCACGGGTTCAAATCCCAGAAGGGGGGACGTGAGTCCCTTCAAGACTGCGCAATACGCCTTGTTGACTGATGAGTGACAACACGCAGTCTTCAACCATCTAATAACCACAATTCAGATTGCACCGTGATGGCAAGTCACCTAGCCTAGCATGGTGGCGGCCGCATTACAAACTTGACTGTGATAGAATTCAGTCTGCACCAAAACGAAGGACTAGTTTATTTTCATTAATATTATTCCTTTGGGTTCCAAGTGGAACAGAGAGCTTCAACAACGTATATCAACTTTTTTCTATTCGATGCTATCCTCTCTTCAGCTGGGTCTACGACTGACCATAATCTCTCATCCCCTCCTCCAATTCACACGGTCGCCTCCATGTTACCCTCAAACACAGACGACTCACTCGAGCGATTACCTGCATTGCACACGATGTCATTCGACAGCCTCCTCAATGTATGCCCGGTTCGATCCATCTCCATTGTCAGCCAAAAGACTCAACAGCGAAAGAATATGAAACCAACACATCATCTACAAAATAAATTGGAACAACTGCGAAAAACACTAACTAAATTGGCCAAAGTGGACGTCTCCTTCGTCTTCGTATTTACGAACATAAGCTAGCCGTCAAAAAACATGATATCCACTCCCTCGCTCATATCACCACACACAGGCAACCACGGACGTCGATTCGACTGGGACAACTAGCGTTCAAGTATTAGAGAGAGGAAACAACAAGAATGCTAGAGAATTTTTAAAAGCTTGCAATTCCAGTTAATCATCAATCAATAGACACACTTTTTTTATTTGTTTTTGATTACACAATGAGATAGACAAAATTTATCAACCGATAAGTGAGAAACCTCACACACAAAGGGTCAAAGTTCAAGTCAAAGAAACAATCAGTCCCAATACAAGTGACCTAAAAGGTATGAAAACACACAAAAACAACCAATCACATCCAAGGTCACCCACCAGGCGAGATGATTAATCAACTCGTGGAGAAATTTAAAAGCTCACTTCATCGAATTGAAGTATGGGCGCTGAAGATGTTGTCTAGTGTTGGGGCTCAGAGAACACAACCACATCAAAATCATCCACCTGAACCACGAATCTTCTCTATCATATCTATTTTCTCCTACATATTTGTTGAGCAATCGGCTCTCATCTGTTGATTTGTTCCCAGTTAGAGTTTATTGTTGCTAAGCCTTTCTGACTGACCATTTGATCTTCAGTATGGAACCAGCCAGTGAAGTTGGCAGCCATTGACAAATGTTTGTAACTTGCTGTTGGAAAGCCTTTTCGTGAAACACACTGGTTAAGTTTCTCATTCGTATAGAACTGACTGACTGATTTCACATTTGTGTTGAACAGAATCCGCATCTTGTTGTTTATGCTGACTGGCTGGCTGGCTGAGTGAAGTGCATAAGATTTCCAAACTGGTTTCAGATTGATGAAGGCGCATCTTGTCTTGCCTCCTGATTCTGGCTGGCTGGTTTTGACATTTTCATCCATGCTGTCCGACTGCCTGTGGTTGAAACGATGCTTCCTGGCCAGATAAGTGAAGGAAGTAACCTCTGTCAAATCCCTCCCGCTGATGGTGATTAGGGCTGGTTGTTGTTGTTGCCGTTGCTGTTGTTTGGTTGTTCATCTTCATCACCTCAGTCTTCTCTATCTTCCCTTGAAGTCTCATCTTTGCTGCCAGCTCTTTTTGCCAATTTGTTGGTTTTCACCTGTAAATTTTCAACTCTTTCGTCATGGGACATAAATCATCCACACGCGAAATCCAGATCTTCTAGAGTTTTTTTTTTATCGGTGATCCAGTGTATTCCTGTCTTCTCATTCACTCCCTGTGCACAGTCTGACACACACGCCTAATCCATTCCATCACCGCAATTAAGAATATCATCGTAGGGGATAATAGACAGACAGGCAGCCAGCTTGTCTTACTTCTGTATTCACTTTGAATGTCTCGCTGAGTTTTAAGTTGGGTATCATCTGGTACTTAGTATTGGTGGTGGTGGACTAGTTGCATGAACACTAAATACTACTCACATTTTGTCGTCCAATCAAAATAAGAAGACTGCAGACGACAGGATGAAGCGAAGATGGCTGACTGAAGCCCTATAGTTCCACTAGCAACCCGTCGGAATAATAATTATAATACGAAGAGATTGAAAAAATTCTTGTGAATACTGTAAAGCATTACTAAGTGTGAATAGATTGTGGATCGCACTTCGGAAATGTGATCATAATTTACAATATTATAGTAAAATAGATATAGATGGATTTTTAGAATACATTAACTCAAAGGTGGAGGCAATCGATCAATTCACTTATGAATTGGAAAGTCAGGAAGCGGGGGAGCTTCAAATGTTAGATTGCAGTGTATAAAGGAAAGAAGATGGGAAGTTAAACGCACACTAATGTTTACATGAAACCCACACATTCAAACAGATATTTCGACTTCCGATCATCCCATCCTGTGTCAGTAAAAATAGGATTGGTGAAATGTCTAAGGGACAGGGCACAAAAAATAAGTAGTACCAAGGAAAATCTAAGACAGGAAGTGATACACATAAAAGAAGCCTTGAAACTTAATACTTACCCGGATAAATTAGTCAGGAAATATGTAGGAAAATGTAAAAATAAAATAAATAATGATCGTAGCGATAGTGATAATAATAATATTAATAACGACATAGATGTCAAATATGCGCAAGACAACACCAACAATAAGGAATCTAAATCATCAGTAGTAATTGCATATAAAGAAGGAACCTTGGAAACTACCTCATGCAGAATTCCTAACAAGACAGGAATAAAAGTGACTGACATTCAAACCACCCACAAACTCAATTAGAAACAAGCTTTGTCGGCTAACGGGATCCTACCAGTGGAGCCTTTAAAACAAAACAATTTAGTTTATCTAATACCCTTCTGCAATGATTGTCAGATCAAATAGATAGGTCAAACTAGTAGAACGGGGGCAGTCAGACTAGCTGAACATAAAAACCTAGCAAAATCTAGATTGGTTGACCCGAATACGATAAGAAATCTAGAAAACAGTTCAGCTATAGCACTCACTACTTGCAATTACACACAATCATACAATAGGATGGGAGGGTGGAGGGAGAGAGGATAACATAGGTTTTGTTTATCGAAACAACTGCAAACACGTGCAATAGGGATGATTCAACACTTAACCAACCATACATCTAGAAAATTCTACTACCCCTACGACGAAAAATAGGAGAGAATAAAGAAAACTATAAAACTCAATTTTCGAAGTTGTGTGATTATAATTGATGAGATGATTATGAACAATAACAGACTGTGTTCGAAACTGTGTCATCCAGTATGTAATAATACTATTTCACTCACCGTGTGATACACCTAATAAACAGACCAATATAGAACATTATAGTAATATAATTAAGTTTATACATACACTGTACAAACAGTTTTGGTTAAATCAACTTACCTAAATCGTATGGATGAATAAGTAGCTGTTCTGGAGTCATAACGGAGTCGACTCTTGTCGTGGGGGTATTGACAAATGGACTACGATTAACAGAAGTCGAAAAAGAGTAACAGCCTAATGGTGGTGTACTAGGCGGTGCAGTTGATGAATGTGTATTTGATAATCCGGGGAATCTTTGTACAACACCGCCTAGAGTTTCAGTAAGTGTTGCTAAACTGGGTAACCGTTTCGCTTGAACATTAGAATTTGCATTTGATGAAAGAGAAGTAGTATTGGCATTATTTGAGAGTGAAGATAAAACAACTGAAGGTTTGTTAACAACTGATGAAGAAGCAGGAGATGATGATGAATTAACCACTGAAGAAGGAGGAGATATGGTTTCAAGAAAATGACGAATATTTGATTGTCTTCGACGAGCTGATGTTATAGAAGAACGAGGAGTTAAATTGGGCAAAGATAAGCTGCCGAATTTGTTATTTACATTGTCTGTGTGTGAAGTTGTTTGACCAAGAATGCACTTTTCTAGATTATTGAAGTTGGCCAATGATTTATTTGGTGAAAGACGTTCAGCAAGACCTAAAATTCAAATTTCAAAACAAAAAAATATACGCAAAATGTAACATGCTGTTAAAATACATACCATTTAATTTTCAAGTATTGGTTTTGTAGGGATTTTGTTTGATTGCATGGAGGATTTCATCATGAGCTGACATTAGTTAGAGAACCATTGGAAAACCAGCTAGGAGTACTGGATAGCTGTTTCATCCTAGTTTCGGATTCTTCATCAGTGGTTCTCTAACTGACATCAGCTCATGATGAAATCCCCCATGCAATCAAACAAAATTAATCTGATGCTCACTAGTGACTGGCCCTATTACAGCAGTTGACCTGGAGTTCCAATAGGAGGCCGTGACCAGTATGGTACAGCAGGCAGTAACTCATCGAAGAAGACATCGCGAAATGGTCGCGCTATGTATGAATTAGCAGAAGTTAGAATTCAAGGACCATTGGATCGGGTCCCAGTGGTTCAATGGTCTACGAACTCGCCTTGTAACAAGAATGTCGTCAGTTGGAACCCCAGTGGAGTGGGTGCGTACTGATAAAGAGTCCCAAACAATGACGAAATAGATGTCCAGTACTCCCAGCTGGTTTTCTAATGGTTCTCTAACTGATGTCAGCTCATGATGAAATCCTCGATGAAATACTATTTAAGTCTAATCAGAATGTAACGCTAATTAGAAATCAGTGGTCAAAAAATCAATAAAATATTTATAACACTACCAGTAAATTAATTCAGCAGAGTAAATCTGTCTGAATTCAGGTGAACTGCAGTGTTTTATACCTCACTAAAAACATGCGGTGTCCATCAGAGATGCACACTGTCGTCATATGTGTTCAATTTCATCATAGATGTACTCGTCGACTTAACTGTAACTCTAAATAGATAGCGAAGAGGTGGAGTGTGTTAGCGATCACTTCGATTATTTTAGAGGTTACATCAACACCCCCCCCCCCCGGGCTGATTGCTAATGGATGAGGTTGGAGGTGTACACTGCTTGGCTGGTTAGCGTCCTCGGGATTTTAAGAACCAATGGCTGGAGACAATTGCTCGTTCTCAATAACTGGCTCACATGCATCCACTCTTTGTGATCTATAATTTCCAATGAAACTATATTGTTCTTCGATACCACTATTCTTTTCGCCTCATATCTCTGTTTATTGTCTCTATGTTGCATTTTTTTTTACTTTCTTCTTTTGCTTTGTGTGCTATATGGAGGGTGGTGACTCGAACTGATGCACATCGGTGCAAAGTTCTATGTAGAAACCAGTCAGTCAGTCACCATCTCAAATACCTAACCGGGCTGACAGCAGTCTACACCTTACTACATGGCTGACTCAAACTGTTGTGGATTTCATTGACTGATGAAGCCACATCTTCGTTTGACCATCACTGGCTTTTTACCAGCCTGATCCATCCTATGTCAGCTCTAACATTTTCAGTTGTCGAGGAAGGCGATGGTTAGTCTAAACATGAATAACAGATGTCTTAACCATCATGTCAATCAGTATAACTTCATAACCTCATCGATTGACTCTTTCCGTCCTTACCTAACACTCAACCGAAGCCTAACCTCAGCACTACTCATCTCTTATTATACCACTTCACACAGGAGATAGGACCCAGACACCTATGATCAAAGACAGCTAGCCAGCGTTTTCATGTCTTCCATTTTCAATGGCCATGTTTTAGTCATATCTATATAAAGGAGGACACAGTAAACTACTGAGCAGTACACACAAAGAGCCTAAGCTATTAAAGACAATCACCTTCTAAATTAGAAACTCATTTAAACCGTGGATGTAGCAATATTAATTACTCCCACAGAAACAATGAATAATAAAAATAATAATAGCTTTATTCCAAACAATACTTTCAGCATATAGTACAACGTTGCATCTAATTTTCTCCCCACATCACATAGTACAAGGGGATATGCCTAACAGGGCATTTACACTGATGATAAGGTTGTCTAATAAGAAAATATAAGTGTAAAATTAAAAATTCAGTGGAAATATTAACGATGACATATTAATGGATGAACGAATATATACAGTGCAGTTTACTTTGAGTTTCTCAATAGTAAATTGGTACTGTCATTCTCCTTGTGCACTTCTCTCATCACATCAAATATGCGCCTAGCAAATAAGATATTGTAGAGTTTTTTATTCTTATTCCTCAGAACATAAAGTCTTCTAACAGTTGCGAGTCTAGCCCTACCTGATGAGACAGATGCAAGGAAAGAGTTGTGTAAGTAGAGGATGCTCAGGGACGGATAAGATAATATTTGCTAGATTTTTTGCATCAGTCAATCTGTCTACCTACAACAGTTTTATGCAGTTGGTTTAGCGACACACCTCACTCACCCATCCTAGTGAGAAAGTTTTTAATGCCATTTGTAGGGTGACAAAGTCTTTCTTAATTGGCACAGAAATGATTAAAGTGGGTGAAGGGAGCAGGAGCATTAAAGAAGAAGGTAGAATAGAATATAAGAATAAACAAACTGTAAAAGTTAAGGCTCAGTGATAGCTAGATTGTCTCAACTTCCTTGCGTAAAATGTTAAAAATTGATATAAGTATAAAATTTGAGCACTGTGGTGGTAGAGTATAACTCCATGATAGATAAGATTTTATTTTGATAAAGTGTCACACAGTGTTCGTTGTACAGTAATAGTAACTGATGATCACGTTTCGAGCACAAACTATCGCTACTCATAATCATATCAAGTCACTCACCTACACAACTTTTTTTCCTCATTTATATACATGTGTGGAATTAATGATTAGACATTTGAATCAAAATCAATATGGGATAATGTACAATCAGAAATAATATTAATATGAGTGATATTGATCAAATACAATCAGATGGGAAATAAGACGAGTGTTTTTATAGTTATAATAAGTAACTTGTTAGAATGTTGTGATGTATGTGAATTGAAATAGAATTTTGCGATTATTTATTATCCTCCTCTGAATTGACTGACTGGTGGCAACAATATCTTTCAGATTTCTGGAATTTGCATTGTCTGTCTGTTTTCGACATAGAACTTTGCACAAATGTGCGGAAGTTCAAGTCGCCACACTCCCTCCATGTAGCACGCGAAGCAAGAGAAGAAAGTACAAGAAAGGCATAATAGAGATAGTAAACAGGGGTGTGAGACAAAGGAGGAGTAATAACGAAGAACAAAACAGTTTCATTGGAAATCATAAGTCACAAGGAGTGGATGCATCTGCGCCAGCCATTAAGAACGATTTCGAGCCATGTCACCAATTGTTTCCAACCATAGATTTTTACCGTCCCGAGGATCCCAACCAGGAAGCCAGTCTACACCTTCCCACGTGGCTTAGACCAACTGTTGTAGATTTCATTGACTGGTGCGAAGTTTTTGTTTGACCGCCGCTAGCTTTTTTCCAGCCTGACCCTACATCCGCTCGTCGAGGGAGGCGATGACTAGGCACACTTAACACATGTCCTAACCATCTCAGTCTTTGTAACTTCACGACTTCGTCGATTGATTTCCCCACCTTACCTAGAACTCGACGCCTAACTTAAATGTTTCTCACCTTATTATGCCATTTTACACGGGAAATAGAGCGCAGGCACCTATGATCAAAGACAGCTAGTCTTTTCATGTCTTCCACTCTCAGTGGCCAGGTCTCGCTCACAACCATAAAGGAGGACGGAGCGGACCGATGAGCAGTACACCCGCCCTTATTTGCATTGAGTCATTTCTGTTGCATGTGTTGGGTGTAGACTCAATGAACCAGGATTCAGTAATCACTCTCTCTCTCCCCCTACCTACATTACTTTTTAGAATCTTAACCCTCCCCCCATCCTATTGTGTGTTAATGCACGTTGTACAACTGCTGAGCTTTTTTCTAAATTACTTATCTTCTCGGAGTCAACCATTCTTACCTTAGCTAAATTCTTATGTTCTGACAATGTGATTACCCCCGATCTACCAGTTTGACCTATGTAGTTGACCTCACTCCCAGTCAATGCAGGGTATTTTGTAAATTATATTATTTTGTTTAATTGGGTAACTAAAAGATGAAAGTGGGAAAATCAGGAAAGATCAGTGGAAATATATCACAGCAACTGGTACAGCTAATAAACTTACCAGCTAATTCACCAGGTTCCGGTAGGCAATACTGTCTAGCAGGAAACATATTCCATACAAAAGCTTGTGATTCATCTGATAAGGTAACAATCCTTGTGGGATCACCTCTACACCATCGTGCAACGCTGACTTCACCTGTATGACCTGATAGAACTATCGGTTGTTGTTGACGTTTACCGACAGTGTAAATATGTGCTTGTCGATCTGAACTACCACAGATTACATAAGAATCATCTGGGCTAATGTCTAATTTCACGTAGAATGAATCCGTCACATGTCCAGTATAAAAGAAAACTGTAAATTAAAATAAATATATATGTTAAAAATGAAGCATTCAAAAATAGTGGTTTAAGAAGTATAGTGTACAGCATGAAACAATCAAAAATAGTATACATCTCTTCCTATTTTAGGACTTATGGGCAGTATGCACTACACAGGGTTCGAACCCACTACCTTCCAGTAACAAGTCGAGCTCGCAGACCATTCGGCCATTGGAACCCGATCCAATGACCAGCCAATGAATTCTAATCTCTATCAATTCGTGATTTCAGCGAGAGCACCAACTAGCCAAGGTCACTCGGGTCATACTTGAAAAAATCAAATCGCTGAAAACTAATTCTTTAAAATTAATCTGATGCTCGCCAGTGACTAGCTACAGAACGAAGCTGACCGGAGTTCTGATAAGAAGTCGTGACCAGTGGAGTCCACCTGGACGCGAGTGAAGAAGATAAGTATTCACCGATGATGACACTGGTTAGTGGTCGATCGAAAATCACAAATTGGTAGAAGTTAGAACTCATCTGCTGGCCAGTGAGTCAGGTCCCAGTGTCTGAATGGTTTGGGAGATTTCCTTGTAATCATAAGATCCTACGTCTAAACCAAGTAGTATATACGTACCAAACACAGTAAGGCCTACATATGCAGGAAAACATCATCTAGGAGTGTAGTGGATTGGTTAAAGGACTCAGCCTTCCAACCAGTGAAATCACAGACACAACCAAGTAATACAGCCTTGACAACTCTGACACACAGCAAAAGTGTTGTTTATGCACAGTCTGATAAATAAAATATCTGTTCCGAGTAACTAAATTCTAAGAAGACACACCAGCTGATAAGATTATAGAAGGCTTTCAGCAGACAGCGTTATTCCATCTCTTTGATTTCAGAGAAGTTCACCTTTTTTATTGCTCAACAAACATGCCAAAGGTAATGAAGATGAATCGCATATACGCTGAGGAAACCATGTCGTAATATCACGCGACTGGCATGGCCACGAGTCGAACCCAAATGGGAAACAACGAGTTGAGTGTGTGTATGTCAAAGGACGATATGAAGGAGATCGTGTAAGGAGGAGGAGGGGATAAAATCGTTATGGGTAATTGTGGAGTCAAGTAAAAAGAAGACTGCAAAACACAGAGTGAATTGAAGGATTCAACCTATTACTTCAACCTCCACAACTGGGAAGTATGGTTAACTCCCACACAACCACACACAAAGTTTGGTTTATACAGGGTTTGTCTGTAATTGACCTGAGGTATAGAAATAGTCTATTGATTAAAATAGAAACTTTTAGAGTGATTTGAGGATACCTACTGGATTCCTCTTGAATAAAGACTAAATCAGAGATATATATGAAGAGATATAATATTGGCGAACTTAAGAATTACATACATATTCATGAAATAGACTGAATTATGCTATTCTGTAAGGACACAATAGGCTGAGTCAGTTTCTAATCTAAATAATGTGGCATTCATGTTCTATAAACTGAAATTTCCTATTATTATTATTATTTCCTTTAATTCCTAGAGGAACATAAGGCTTCAGCTGTACGTATCCATTTCGTTCGGTTCTCTGCTAAAGTTTTCACCTGGCTCCACGTCTGCCCACATGCATTCATCTCCTCTTCACATGACCTCCTATGAGTCACCCTCACCCCTGGACGACCAACTCGCCGCTTTCCTTTCGGGTTCCACTCGAGGGCTTGTCTAGTGGTGTCGCTTGATGGTTTCCTCAGAGTATGGCCAATCCATCTCTATTTTTTTCCTACCTATTTGTGGCACAATCGGTCCCTGGTTGGTTCGCTCCCAGAGATCGCTGTTGCTGATCTTTTCTGAACATCTGTTCTTGAGTGCGTCGGTGGCACAGTGGCTAGGACTCTCGCCGACCATGCACATGATCCGAGGTTCGATCTCCTGCCGACGCACACCTGATATCTATGGTCGGCCTGGAAAATTTGGGCTACCGATATCACATGTTGAAAATTCCATACTTGTACCGCAAATACGGTGTGGAGTCAAGCTGTAATCAAAAATAAAAATAAAATATTATTGAGTGAAGACAGCTGTTGATGAAGGTCTGTAGTTTGCTTGAGGTGCTCTTCATGACGCGCCAAGTCTTTGATCTGTATAGTAGCACTTACTGACTTCACACTGGAGTTGAAAATCCGGATCTTATTTTAAATGATGAGTGCTGTTGACCTCCATACAGACTTCAGGGTAATGAAAGTTTGTCTTACTTTCCATATCCTTGCTTTGATATCCTCGTCACTTCCACCTGCAGTTCAAACGATGCTTCCCAGGTAGGTGAAGGAGGTCGTTTCTTTCAGGTTTCTCACATTTGCACCGACTGTTGTTGTTGTTTCTGTTGGCCAAGAATCTTCACCACCTCTGTTTTCTCTGTGTTCACCTGAAGGAAGTCCTATCTCTTTTCTGGATGCTTCTTCTGCCAACTTGTTGCTTTTCACTTGCATATCTCCCAGTTTGTGGGAAATCAGACATATATCATCGGCGAAATCCAGATCCTCCAAGTTTTTTGTGTGGGTCAATTTTATGCCTGTTTCCTCGCTGCCCACTGTCTGTCGCATTATCCAATCTACTGTAATCAGGAAAATCATTGGCGATAGTAGGCAGCCTTGTCTTACTCCCGTCTTCCCTTCAAAGGATGCTATAATCAACGACAAATGGTCTGCTGTTTGACTGGAGAAAAATCTTCGATGTCCATGAATCCCAGCGGTAGAATGTTCGCCAACCAGAGTGCACGTGGTCCAGGTTCGAAAATCCCGTTCGATGCGTTATTCGTTATTCCCACCAGTTGGAAAACAGAGAATGATGAACCTGAAGGCAGCACCTTCACAGTGTGAAAAAAAACATCTCTGCTAATAAAACTTCAAAAAGGTAAAAGTTTGAAGCCCTATGTTTTAGTAATACAAGTGACTTGGTGGCCTGCTTAAAACTTGGACTAATAAAAACTTCCATCTCTCTGTTGCATATATTTTCTCTCGTTCGATTTGATTTAATCGATCAAGATATGACCTCCAATGGTATTATCTACTCTTGTATGTATTTAGAATTTCTACAAGCTTCTGAATAGCAAGTTCCTGTTAAACTTCAGGAAAGGCCTGATTGTAAGGGTGGTAACGTGTCCTAATATATGAGATAACTGTTCTTCAGTTATGTCCTTGACTCTCAAAATGTACTTCTGAACACCTTACAATTGGCTTTTAACTCGATCGAGAGACAAAGCAGAAACATCATAATGGAATGGTTTGTGATTCAGTTCAGAGACCATTGTGTCACGGCATATAATACTGTCAATGAATAATTATTTTACTTGAAGATATTGTACGAAGAGAGGAAATATCCATGCAATAAACTCCTCTGAAAATTGTGAACATTACATAAATACTGTCCAGGATAGAGATGTATTATTATTAGTATTATCATTATTACTGTTACATTGCAAACAAAGCACAAAGAACGATATATAGAATGAATACCTTTCAGAAGGAATATTTACAACTGAACATTAGAATTAAAACTTATATTCCCTACTACGATAATGTAGAAATGAACTCACCTGGATTAGGGTTTTCTTGCTTTAGATCATATTCATAAATAATATTATCCAAACAATTAGCATATAAACGTGTCCTGTACGAATTGATGACCAGGTCAGAGTAACCTAATAATTGGAAGAACAAAAAACAACAAGTGATACTTTTAGTATTGATCACAATTACATAATTGAATTATTAATACTAATATTCCGTTTGATTCCGAGTGAAACGTAGGGCTTCAACAGGACATCTCCATTTCATCAGATTCACTGTAGTTCTCTTCAGATGGCCCACGACAGCTTATTGGCTCTAATCTTCTGCTCACACAATCCCTTCCCCAAAATTTCACCCTGGGATTCTAGACCACCTCATTGTTACTCACATTTCCACAGTATTTAAATTCCAAGGGAAAATATACAAACAAACTGAGGGAGTTGTTATGGGATCACCGATACCCCCGATTGTAGCAGATATATTCACGGATAGGTGGGAAAACATATCGATTGAAACGTTCACCCCCACCCCAAAAGTACGGTGGAGGTATGTAGATGACACATTCACTGTACACTTAGAACACAGGATATAAATAGATTTTTCGAACACATTAACCCAAAGGTGGAGGTAACCTATCAATTCACTTATGAATTGCAAAGTCAGGAAGTGGGGGAGCTTCAAATGTTAGATTGCAGTGTATAAAGGAAAGAAGATGGGAAGTTAAACACACACTAGTGTTTACAGAAAACCCACACATTCAAACAGATATTTCTACTTCCGATCATCCCATCCTGTGCCAGTAAAAATAGGACTGGTGGAATGTTTAAGTGAAAGAGCAAACAAAAACTAAGTAGAACCAAGGACAAACAGACAGGAAGTGACACACATAAAAGAAGCCTTGAAACTTAATAATTATCCGGATAAATTAGTCAAGAAAGTATGTAGAGAAATGTAAAATCAAAATAAATAATGATAGTAGCGATAGTGATAATAATAATAGTAATATTAATGACGACATGCATGTCAAATATGCGCAAGATAATGACAACAACAACAATAAGGAATCTAAATCATCAGTAGTAATTCCATACAAGGAAGGAACCTCGGAAACCACCTTACGGCGGAGAATTCTTAACAAGGCAGGAATAAGAGCGGTTGGCATAGAAACCACTCACAAACTCAATTAGAAACAAGCTTTGTCGGTTAAAGGATCCTGTGGAGCCTTAATAAAATAAAAAACTTCAGTTTATATAGTCCCCTGTCTGCAATGATTGTCAGGTGAAATACGTAGGTCAAAGTAGTAGAACGGGGTTAGTCAGTCAGACTAGCTGAACATAAAAACCTGGCACAATCTAGATCAGTTGAGCCGAATAAGATAAGAAATCTGGAGAGTAACTCAGCTATAGCACCCACTGCATGCAATTACACACAACATAGCCATACAGTAGGATGGATGGGATACGATGACAGTTTTGAAATATAATGTAACAACAGGGTGGAAGGAGAGACTGACAACGGAAGCTTTGTTTATCGAATCAACTTTAAATACGTGTAACAGGACTGATTCAACACCTGCCCAGTCGGATATCTGGAAAATTCTACTACCCCTACGACGACGAGTAGGAGAGAACAAAGAAAAATATAAAACCCAAGTTTCGAAGTCATGTGATTATAATTGATGGAATGATTATGAACAATAACAGATTGTGTTCGAAACTGTGTCATACAGTATGTAATAATACTGTTTCACTCACTGTGTGATACATCTAATAAACAAACTAATATGGAGTTTCTCATGCCCGTTTCACTCCAAGGCCTGCTGTGTGGTGTTATTACTCAACGGTCTGCTCAGCGTGTGTCCAATCTATCTCGATTTTCTTCTGCATACCTTTTTGAGCAACAGTTTCATGATTGATTCATCCCCAGAGTTTGTTTTTCCTAATTCTTTCCGACCGGTTATCTGAACTTTGGTATGGAGTTTGAGAAGTGGGCAGCTGTTGATAAAAATCTGCGGTAGCCTGTTGGGATTGCTTTTCATGATGCACTAGATTTCTTATGTAAATAAGACTGTAAGATTTTGTCATTTTCAATAATCCAACGTTTCAACAATCCGATTTCGGAGTGGATTTAAGGGACATAAAACTAACTAACTACATTCTTTTAATTGTTATGAAATATACACATTCACAGAATGATTATTCCTTTCTGAAGACTGCCTAATTAACTATGACGACAGAAACATAAATACACCTTAAAAAATGCGCAGTGACTGAAAGAGTCCCGACCAAAAGCTGCCACCTTGACGCGGTGGTCGGGCTTGAACACCTCAATGACCTAATCAAGCCATACTGGCTGAGACTTATGTCTCTTGAGGTCCTACCATGCCAGAAAGCTTGTTTGGATAGCGGTTAAACAAAAAGCAGCTACCCAATCCAACACTATGATACATACAAAATCACAAAATATCATGTCCGATCGGCCGTGGCCTGGATTAACAACGACCACGCTTCTTGCTGCCGTGTCACAGGGCAGGAGTGATAAGTATGCTACCGAGACACACCAAACAAAAAAGAACAAACAAAAACAGGCCGCGTGTGACCGGCCTCAGGAAGTTGTCCCCTGGGCTCTGTGGTCATGCAACCAACTTCCACGGTGTGGGCAGCCGGGAAGTAACAATCACCCTCACATTCTGACAGACAGAAGTGGAAGAGTAAGTAAATAAAAGGCAGTCAAAACAACTGACTGGCTGACGGCTGATTTCAACATAGAACATGGCATATAAGTGGACTTAACCCTAATTGACTTCACTGACTCAGGGATTGACTTGTTACCATCAAGGAATAATCTCGTTGACTTAGAATAAATGAAGATGATATAGCCCTCCCTCCTAGATGGAGACATTCACTCACACCTCAAGGAGCAGCAATCTTTGAATATTCGGCATACGATTCGTTGCCGTCAAATGCAAGATGATGAGACTACAGGATTCGACTACAGTGACCCTTAGGTTAAATATAAGGAGTGAAACGGTGGTTGGGCGTGTTGACCACTTCACTTATTCTAGAAGTTACATCAGCCAACGCCAGTGGGTTGGTCGTTGATGAAATCTCAGCGCAAGTACACAAGGTTCGTTTGGGAATTGTCAACTCACACCATCTCTGGCGTAGACGTTATATCCGGCTGTAGACCAAAGGTCGTGCGTACTGCTCAGCAGTTCTCTCTGTCTTCCTTTATGGCTGTAACTGAGACAATGAAAACTGAAAGCAGAAGACATGAAAGGGCTGGCTATCGACATTAGGCATCGGTCGAGTGCTAGGTAAGGAGGGGAAATCAATCGACGAGGTTGTGAAGTTACACAGGTTGAGATGGTTAGGACATGTGTTTGGCATACACCGACCCATCGCCTTCCTCGACAACGTGCAATGTTAGCTAACAAAGGATGGATCGAGTTGGAAAAGATCCAGAACATGGTGGTCAAACAAAAATATGGCTGCATCAGTCAAAGAAGTCCACAAAAGTTAGTTTAAGTTTAATATGACTCGAAATTGTCCTCAGTGACTCAGATGAATTCACTCTTTATGATTTGTAATGCTCAATAAAATTATACTCTTCTCCCATAATACTATTCTTTTTGCCTCATTCACACTACTGGTGTATTATCTCTCGTTTGAATATCTCTTTACTCTCTTCGCTTGCTTTGTGTGCTACATGCAGGAGGGGGTGTGGCAACTCGAACGGCTGCACATATGTGCAACGTTCAACGTTGAAACCAGCCAGTCAGCACCAGTTTAACTTGTCACACTCCATTCAACACACAAAGGAGAACAAAAAAGACAAAAACATAGATTGGAAAGGACGGTAACAGGCAGAAATTTAAAGGAGAAAGAATATTAACATGGGAAAAATCTAACAGTTAAGTGAATGTGGCACATTACAGAATGAATGTGTCTACGCCAATAACAACGATTTTGAGCCATATCCGCCGATAGTCTCCAACCATTGATTCTTAGAATCCTGAGAACCTCAACCAACCAAATAGTCTACACCTACCTGAAGCGACTGGCTCAAACTAACCATTGAAGATTTCATGGAGTAATTCCATGTTTTCGTTTGATCTCCACCACTAGCTCTTTTCTCAACTGAGCGATTCTATGTCAAGGAGGGCGATGGCTGTACGTGAGTAGCACGTATGCAAACCATCTCAATCGACTCACTTTCACAACCTCACGGAGTGCCTTTCCCTAACACTCGAACTAAGCCTAACCCCCTATTATACTACCCTAACACATAGGAGATAGAACACAGACGACACCTATGATGAAATACAACTAGCCTTTTCATGTCTGCCACACTCACAATGACCATGTCTGACAGTCTAGAATGAGGACGGAGCGAACTTCTGCGTAATAATGCAGTCTGTTTCGGATTGTGTGCATTTCGGACTGTGAGGGCGATTGTTACTTCCCGGCTGCCCACACCGTGGAAGTTGGTTGCGTGACCGCAGAGCCCAGGGGACAACTTCCTGAGGCCGGTCACACGCGGCCTGTTTTTGTTTGTTCTTTTTTGTTTGGTGTGTCCCGGTAGCATACTTATCACTCCTGCCCTTTGACACGGCAGCAAGAAGCGTGGTCGTTGTTAATCCAGGCCACGGCCGATCGGGCATGATATTTTGTGATTTTGTATGTATCATAGTGTTGGATTGGGTAGCTGCTTTTTGTTTAACCGCTATCCAAACAAGCTTTCTGGCATGGTAGGACCTCAAGAGACATAAGTCTCAGCCAGTATGGCTTGATTAGGTCGTTGAGGTGTTCAAGCCCGACCACCGCGTCAAGGTGGCAGCTTTCGGTCGAAAATAATGCAGTCAGGTGATAAAAATATCATTCTACTTTGTACACATTATTTTTCTTGAAACAAACTTCCAATGAGTGAAAGTTGTATTCCCACATAGAACATAAAAAGCATCCTTATACATAAAAAAATACTATACATCAAAAGAAAATGACTTTGACAAAAAGAGGTTTGTTATTTTTCATGAATACTTGGATGAGAATTAATCATGAATACAACCTACTGACTACTATCTCAAATCGTATGGGAGTGACTGATGTGTAGGGGGGGGGGAATGGGTTTT